TGTTTCTCTCTTGGTGTGACCGGTGGCAGTATCGATCAGCAATGCCGCACAGACTTTTGCGCGCCGAAATATGCGTGCGACAGCTTTAACCTAACCACTTCGGTGGAAAGCGGATTTCTGTTCGATACGGTGTCAAGGGTACCAGGGAAGACGGGGCCGAGTTTTGTTTGATTTCGGGTGGATGAGGTTGGGGTTTTGTTCGTTTTTCTCCATCTAAGGCTCGTGTCTAGAGTTCTTCAGCTTTCGTGTTTCAACCAAAGTTCTGTTGACTTAGAGGCAAACATTCTTAGCTATTGGGCATCGAGTTAATTTGGCTTGGCATGACGGCCTTTACGATCGACTTTCTACGTATGTCTGCGTTTATCTGCATTTAATTGTCGGAGGGCAAACAAAATATTAATAATACGTAGCTGTCATCCGCATGCAAGGAAGTAAGCGCAAGATGCCGAACACCTATATTTAGCAGGATGGATGCAGCCCACCCTTCATGCGACTCGCCGAATATTTCACGGCGCTTCGCGCTTGGTGATGTGAGAGCCTGGTCCGGTGAGAACCCGGCGTGCTCCGTCCCGGCTTTGTAGGGATGCGAGGTCAATAGTCTGAGGACTACGGCATGCACGACTATGAGTACACCCCCCCCATCACTATAAATTCATGGAATTTACGAATAACACATACTACCTGGTAGTACGTGTTATGCTTGAACATGCAGCGTAGCGGTACACCGTTAGATTTGTGGACACAGTTTGCTGGTTCGATCCCCTCCGCGTCATGTGATGTTCCTGCGCTAGTCATCTCGAAAGCGAGGAAATTTGTCTGCCAATCAATATATCGCTCGGCAGAAGAGTGGAATACAATGAATGGAAGTACAATGAATGGAAGGGAGGAGAAAGCTTACACATTTTTTTCTTTTTTTCTCCTTCACACCAATCCGCGCATAATAACCGCTTTCATAACCGGCACGCTCGGGCTGTAACCCCCCCACGTTATCCCATGTTAATACCCCTCGTTGGCCGGAGGTTACACAACGCCCCCGTACAACCGTGCCCACTGGCCACCTGTGGAGGCTCAGAGTGGGCTGTGCGATTCATGTGCCGTGAAATCTTTGGCTGTGGAATCCGGAGGTCGCGGGGAGGGACACGCGCCTTTCGTTTTGGGTGTGTGGGAGTCATTGACTGCCAACTGCCGGCCCCCTGGGGATCCCTATTATGATGTCGATACCGTTATTTTTTCTCTGTATCTTTGGTTCGAGGCACGACACAACAAGTGGGCGAGAGTTTATGACTAATAGTTTCAAGAAGACGTCACGTTCTGATGGCGAGAACGAAGAATACTCTTTTCCTGTAGAAAATAACAGATGTTGTTGTCCTGAAGCTGCACACGCGAGACAGAGAAAAGCTGCCATATTTCGCGCAGACTGCAATTTTGCAGGCGTGTACAGCAACAAACTACAGTTTTCTTCGCGTAAACGGTGGTTTACTCGCTAATTTACCGCCAATAGGTGGTGATGACCCTCCCATCGTGAAGAAAAATCGGGAAACAAAGGAAGGTGCAAACAAAGGTTGGCGCTGAGGAGGATTGAACCCGCAACCTCTGGCACTGAATAACCACATATGGATTCCTTCTCTCAAACTTTTAGACAACGAAAGGACGCGTCATTCGAATACGCCTCTTCGTATCTTTTTCGCGCTTCGCGCGAAATAAATATAAATCGTTCCCGGGTTGCCCTACCCATGGTCGCTGAGCCCAATTATACAATCAACCAAACCGCACATAGGCAGGCCGGCGACTTGCATGCGTGGGCTAGAAACGCCAACAAGAAACATCAGGTGAGCAATGATGTACGCGTCGTTTTATCCGTGCCTCAGATTGTTGGTAGCAAAGCTATGGAGCAGTGCGTCCACGGAATCTACTCTTGCTCTCACAGACGCAGCGCACGATTCCACATCATTATATCTGCAGTACGCCCACACCAGTCAACCCCTTCGAGTTGTGCGAATTCCAGCGTAGTCTAACTGGTGTGCTTGCGGTATAATGTAGCTAAGTTGGATTGTTTTGCTCGCGGTTGCCGAATCAGCCGGACTACTACAGTAGTTGTGTTCAAAATACAGTAGAACTCCGCCGCATATCGGATAGGAGTAAGAGCCATGGAAGCGGTAAATGCGGGGGAACTCGAGCAGAAGAAAACTGCTGTTGTTTTAAATTAGCCGATACGAGACGTTCCTTCTCTCTTACTATTGAATCAAAGCGTGTGGCAGCCGCTTTCAAATACAACCATCTGGCAAAATTATCCTCTGCTACTGCTGTAGGCAAAATGAGTAGCCAGCAGCTACATTAGCACCGAACCACAGAGGAGATGCGCTCAATATTTCAATGTTGAAGCACACGTGCCCCCCCTCCCTCTATCTCCTCTCTCTCTCTCTCTCTCTCTCTCTCTCTCTACGAACTAACGAAAGCACAGTGCCCGAGCCGGCCAATCACACCAGGTCCTAGTCTATGGCTCTTCGAAATTCCATCGCCTCGAGAATGCGAGGGGCGGCTACGGCGTTGTGTAGGTCGGCAACAGCAGCCGAACGCCAGGTGGCGCCGATTCGACTACTGCGGTCAACGACTGCACGGGGTGAGGGGGCGCAGCCGGCCGACACATCTGCAGAAGATATGACCAAGAAATTTGGAGATCCTTCGTTTTGGGAAAGGAAGGTTGTTGTTGTTGTTGTTGTTTCTCACATTAGCTCTATAGTCCACAAAAAGTGGGGAGCCCGTGGTCTCAAAAACCCGGCACATACCGCCGCGGGGAAACAAAACAAAAATTGGGTACAAACCACTCGGAAAAAGAAAACAAAATGATACAAAGGAAATAACCGGTACCGCGCTGACCGTTCGAGAAAAGAGCCCTCGGAAGCCGATCGAAAAAAAACAAAAACAAAAATACAGGAGGACGCTTCCCACACCCGCCTAGAGAAAAATCAAAGGGTAACGTACCAGCACCAGGCACTACCCACCAGGGCATGGGAGTAACGGAGCAAACAGGACAAAGAGGCGGCAGATGGGCAGACAGCCAGATGTGCAAAAAAACAAAAGCAGCAGCAAAAGCGAGATCAAGGATCCCAACGCAGCAGAGTAGGCAGGGAGAACATGAAAAAAAAGAAACACAGCACAGAGGCCGAAGGCAATACAAAGGACATACACAAAGGAGTATATCATACAGCAGGGAGGGAAACAGGGCGCAACAACATCAACCGGGTACATAGTTCGCCACAAGTGCTGCCTCGGCCGCCCTACTCGCTTCGGTGGTGTGTTGTGTCAAACGTCAAATGTTTGAAGTGAAAGGTACTACTGCTTCGCGTTGATTGTTATGCTGCTGCTGCAATGTAGAGCCCAACGATTCCGCTCTCTTCAACGTTCTGCGCTTCGAGAATTGAGATTTTGGTGAGAGATCGGATAATGTTCCACGTTGTCGAGAAACGAAGCAGTTTTGCGACTGTCGGTTGTTGTAGATCTGAGGTGATCACTTGCCATCAATCTCATCGTGTTGCGTCTATCTATTATGCTCTTACGAGTGTTGACTTGGCGGCAGCTGGACCACGGCGTATGTATGACTCGATCAACTACTACCGCAGTACCGCCGGTCGCTCGCAAACAAGGTGGTTTTGGCGAGAGGTCTCCTGTTGTTGGTGGTGTGCTAGACTTGTCTGCTCACTGAAAATCTTCACACCTTTTTGTTTCCACTTCCAAACATCCCAAACATCATCCGTGCTCGTTGGTGGTCGCTGCTCTTGGCGCCGCATGTCGTCACAGCGCTACTATACAGTAGCCTTGCTTACGAAACCGTGATGTGTACGGCATAAGGCTCTGCTGCGTGCACCGCCTTCTTTCCGTACCCTAATGGGGCTTGACATTAGTGTGATTTCCCATTTTCATCTACACATTGTCACACGCGTATACTACCCGAATATCTGCTTGTCTTGACTTGTGGATTGGGGTGAACGTCGACCACCTCACTGTGGACGCCCGTCCTCTCTGCGTTTTGTTGCTGTCTTTCGCCCCACATGGTTTCATCGGATGGCATGACACGGCACGGCTTACCCTTGGCAGTACACCGGCCCCCAAGGTCACAAGGCATTCGAATGGTTCCTGTCATACGATAGAGGGTTGAAAGAATACCTTCTTCCTGTATTGGAGTCATTGGTGATGATGCCCTCCTCCCACTCTCGGTGAGATCGATCACCATGAGCCATGACCGGCCATGAAATCGCCCAAAACGAAAAATCTACCAGTCGCAATGCTGGGGTAAGGAGGTGACCCGGGGGGG